CCATGCTTGACACGCACCACCAGATCGGTGGTACAAGCACGGATGTCGATCGTTGTTCGGGACATGGTGCATGTCGAGCATGAGAGTAAACTGGCGCCACCACGGGATCGGTTCCGTCTTGGACTGATCGCAGAAGACTGGAATGTCATCTAGCTTGGGTGGGCGCCTGGAGGATGCGGCGGTGGGCGTCACGGTGGCAGCAGCCTGGACCTRCGTCTCCAACTGCAAGTTCGTTGCTTGCTGCGACGTCCGGAAGTCCTAATGCACACGCTTGATGTTGCTGACGTCATCCTCCAAAACTTGCACACGGGTGGTAAGGGTGGAAGGCCCTGCGGTTGCTACAACAGCTGACTGTTTCTCCAACGCCTGCAGCCGTGCGAGCATCTGGTCCACTGTCTGCTGCAGGTGAAGGATTTCCTGCTGCTGCAGAGCGCAGGTGGCCACGAGGTCGTGGGAGACCTTCGTAAGGGCTGACAACCCTTTCTCAGTCTCCGGGGCCCCGTCTCCAGATGTCACTTCCACCCAATGTGCGGCCTCATAGCCGATCACGGTCTCCCGCGTGAACAGTCGTTCCCGCTGGCGTGACCGGTGTTCGGCTGCCGCCTGCAGGTCTGCCTCTTCTTGACGAAGTCGGTCTTGTTCCTCCCTCTGTGGCTTGGCCTCGTCCTCTTGTTCGAGCCGATTACGTTCCTTGGCCGCGACGGCGGCCCTATCGTTGGCCTCCTGAATGAATGCCGCCAGGCGTTCCTTATAGGCCAGGAGGGATTTTCCCGCCTTCCGGTCCATGGCCTTGGTCTGTGATCGAGTGAGCAGTGTCATGCATTGCTTTGCCCGCAGTCGGAAGAGTCACCCGAGGGTCAATCTGATGGACTGGCCCAGTACCCGGACTGGAGGGGGAGGAATAGGTAGGAAGTAGACAAGTGGGAAGGATCAGACAGAGCCCAATTTGAACAGTTTCCTAATCAAAAAGAAGAAAAACAGAACTTTAAAATTCGAAAAAAGTTTGTCCAATCCCACTGAGTACCGAAGGTGATGCAGAAAGCAATTGTGAACCTTCGGTGCTCGGACTGCAGAGAATCAGAAAAGAATGGTCTTTATAACTCAGAGTAGGAGTAGGTTGCAAACAGAAAAAAAATGCCTTTTTTTATTTTTTGAAAATTTGAAAAAAAAGAACGGAATTTGCAGACCTACGCAGTGAAAGTGTAGAGGGACAGTTTTGGAAAAAGAATCGCGAAATTATCAAAATGCAGACATTTAACAATTAAAAAAGGTAAAAAAAAAAACAATTCTCGGAAAAAGAATTCTCGAAACGGAAAAAAATTCTTGGAAACCAAATTTCTCGGAAAAAT